CTTTCCCTTACATCACCTTTTTGGGCCATAAAATTTTGGTAAAAACTAAGATTCTAGACAAGATTTATTCATAGATCAATCCTTTTTATGGGATGGAATGACCAATTTTAAGGTGGCCTGATGTCACATTTGAGCATAAGAAAGTATCCACAGCTGTGACTCTGGATCCATACATAGTCATTCCACAACAAATGTTTTTCTCTCATATAAAACCAAATTTTATTGTATTTCCCTGTGTGTCTCATTCTTGTAGTAAATGTCTTATGTACCTGCACATTACCACCATCCTTTTATCTAAAGGAGAAATAAATAAGATTTAGATTCTTTTGCAGATCTATTCACTAGTACCTGCTGCATCACTTACTATTCCCTTTCAGACTCGCTATAAATAACAAGCAGGTTTTGTTGCCTCATGGATTAATGCAATATTGAAAAGATTAAAAATCCAGCCACACTGCAGCCTCGAAAATGGGCAAATACATTGTCTCCTTGTTTAACCAGCAAGACAGAAAAATAAAAGAAACATATGCCCAAGAAACAAATGGGGATGGCAGCACAGCGCGACAAGAGTCAGACTCTGCAAGATTCTGTGTGTGAGAATGTATATTTTGTATCCCAGCACTGGTGATTAATGTGAGAGATGATAAGCAACTTTCAGGGAAATTGGAAGTTTTGCTCTTCTAGCTCTCAGATGTGATATTTTAACAGAAAAAAGTCATCTACTCAGAGGCCAGATCTCACACCAATAAAATATGATTTTGAAAAATCCTTAAAGTCCTAAAAGCAGGAAGGTATGAACTATTTTGAAGAGCTCAGCACAGACACTCAAAGTTGATTCAGAGATGGTCAGAGGCATATATTACTATCTTATGGTTTTAAACTATATTTTTAGTCAGTTTTATTTTTCGTATGATTGAAAATACAACTGAAACCTCAGAGTTCAAGGTATAAAATTCAGAGAAGTGAAAATGGCTACTTAGATACAAATAGGTGACAGCAGGTTGCATACCTGATGTTGTTTTGTGCTACCTTATATTGATAGAATTGAGGCCTCTCTTGAAATTTCATTATAAATCCAGGTGCACAGTAGTTATTTGAACACCTGGCTTCTGCTGTCCTCCAAAGCTCAGAGATTGCCACCCACACCACTGCCATGCAACTCAAACTTTCCCTCCCAGTTGGAAGAGGATGCTTAAAAGGCTTAAGCACAAAAAAAAAAAAAAAAGACTTCTTAAGAAGAAAAAGCATCACCACAGATGAAAGATCCTAAGCCAACTTTTTTTCTTAATAAAAGCTTTACAAAACTCACCTGCTATAAACGTAACAGCCCATATTATTGATTTCTTTGTCCAATTTGTACCGCCGAAAGTCCTCCCAAGCATCTTTAATGGCTGTCATGGCCATTATAACACAAATAGGGATCACAGAAACTTCTGGCTGGAAAGCATTAAGCACTGGCACAAAATTTAGCAGTGCAATGGCCACAAAATAAATATTGGCAAAGCGGTGAAACTGTTCGAAGATATTTTTAGGAAGGAAAGTCAAGGGGGTATATTTTGTAGTCTTAATTTCATTGCTGTCATAATGTCTGTTTGGATTTTCCTTCCACTTTTTTCCAAAGGACAAATTGGAGATGATTGCTCGTTTATTTTCATTTTTCTTCTTCCTTTTCTTCAGTTTTCCTCTCCTCTCCATTTCCTCACTTTGGATTTCAGTGTCGGAAGCAGCACACTGGCAGCACGTTCTTCTGAAAAAACGCTTTGTCCATAGCATCACAGAGAAGCAGCCTCGAACACTTTTCCATGACATCTTGCTCCTCCGTCAGAATGTTCCTTCAAATTTAACAGCAACGAGGTGAGAAGAATTCCCTAATGCGGATGGGCTTCAAAGCAGGAAGGAGAAGAGCGAAACTCTCTGGAGTCCAAGGTCTCACTGGTCGACTCCAGCGCGCGCCTGCCCTAGGACAGGTAGCACCCTGGTAGCCAGCCAGGTCCGAGCACCTCTTGGGAAGCACGTCACACCTACAAAGCATCCTGAAAGGGTTGTTATTCCAGTTAGGATACACCTGGAGGCCCCATCCCTGGCGTTTCCCTGGCTCAGCGGATCTGCTCCGGTGGAGCGTCTCTGTTTTGGCACAGCACTGGAACAAAACGAAGTTGTGTGCAGGTTGAACTGTTCACTTGAAGCTTTTTCGAGTCCTTTGCTTGGCACGGGAGTTGTCAGGAAGTTCAAAGGTAATGGGCAGAGCACTACAACTCTGAAGTCAGCAGCAGGTTGCTATAAACCTCCGCAGAGCCACTGCTTCTCCCTTCACCTATTTACTATTGATTGCCACACCCATTACCCAGAATATTCAGAATAACAACCAACCAAACCCCCAAATTCTCTTCCAAACCAGGCAAGCCTATGAGTCAGTAGCTGTGTGGACTAGAGACACGTGTAGGCAATTTAAGAGAAGGTAACCTAGACCACTCCTCAGCCCGGTGCTTCTGCTCAGGTAGTCCTCCAGCCTCTGGGCATCCAAAACATCTCTCACTCAGTAATTTCTTCCCACCCTACATTTCATTTTTCTCATTGACTCTCATACCTCTGCATGTAGCTAATTAATTAATTTCCAAGAGAACTGTCTGAATTCATATGGAACAGTAATTTTTCCTCTATGGATCTGGACTTAAAAAGAAGTGAGCAAAAGAAGAGACACAAGTATTTTAACTCTTTCTAAAGCAAAATTCTGGTTATGTAGTGACAAGTTAACTCGTGCTCAGACACAAGTATTTTAACTCCTTCTAAAGCAAAATTCTGGTTATGTTATGTAGTGACAAGTTAACTCGTGCTAAGTCAAGTTATTACTTGGACAAGAAACTCTGATGAAATCTACATGTTGCAACAAGAACAGCACATGGAAATATTTCTTCCCTCTGAGTCAGTACTGAGTAAACATTGCAGCTTCCAGCATATGGGTGTTGTACTGTCTCCAATGTGAAACAGCGATGTATTGAACACTTGTACTTACTGGAAATACTATGGTTTTTTCAGTTCCTGGTTGTACTTCACTTTGAATATAGTTCAATATTAATTTTTGCACTAATGACTTCAGTGGGAAACTTTTGAAAAATATGGTTCCAGCTTAATAAGCCCTGAGATCTACTTCCAGACTGGGCTGTATTTCAGGTGCTCTGTGTCACTTGTCTTCCAGATCCTCCAGCTACTTGGACAAGATGTTGTGTGTGCTTGCAAACCCGTTTGGAAACTTGAAGTGAGAACTTCTAGGGCAGCCCACACTGCTGCAGCCTGAGACAAAACTTGAGTGATATTAGGATGACTGAGTGACATAAATGAAACAAACACTCTAAAGACAAAGCAATCTTTATAAGAGCTTTTTCAAACTTACCGTGATCCAAAGTAGCAGCAAGGGAATCACTGTGAGATCACATGAGCAGTTTCCACCATATCCAACACAAGCAAAAAAAAATCACCAGTTTCATCTACTTACTTGTCATATACCCTGGTTTTAGAGGAGTTTATAGCCTTATCAAATTGGTATTTTCTGTAGTCTTCAATAGCATCCTTCACTGAGATGGCAAGCAGCACTGCAAGCAAAGGCAGCATAGTAATCTCCCTGTGGAAAACTTGCACTTGTGGGAACCAATTTAGAATCACCAGAAAGAGGAAATAAAGATTAGCCAACCTGAAAGGGTATAAGGGAAATTAAATATAGTCAGAATTTAAAATATGTGTGTTTCTTGAAGTACATCCCCATTTTGTCTCACAGGAACATCAATCTTTCCACATCTATACTTCCTCTTCCTCCCACAAAAAGCATTCATCAGTTACTTTACCAGGAGTCTGTGAGATTCATTTTCGTTGTATTATAGCTGCCTTAAGTTTTCCATGTATTACAAATACTTTTTTATCGGGGAAAAAAACTAAAACTCTTTAATGATCCTGCACTGTTACAGTCTTTAAATTAAGCACAAAATCAAGCAAAATCCTCAAAAACAAACCAATGTAACAGATGGGTATAAAAACACATATGTTTGGAACTTTTTTGTTTAGTTTACCAAGTATGAGTTTACCATGAGTTTACCAAGTATGTGGAAATGGAAGATGAAATTATAGAGATATAAATCTAATATACAAAACAGAAATTTCAAAGCTAGAGATGGATAGATAGCTTTTTGTTTTTCATAGTGATATTCCCTACGTGTGTTTTGATATGATTCTAGAAAATTTCCTAGATGCCTGAACACATCCAATGAAAATGTTCCATGCTCGTAAAAATTAAGGGTTTATTAAATGCAGAAAGAGGATTTTAAAAATATACATATGTTTGAATTTTTTACATAGAGGACTGTTCTGAAAGAAGTGGATCTCAGGATCAAAATAACAAGTTATACATGCCATTGGTTAACACATACTTTAACCCTTCATTTCTGTGTGAATCAGCTACTATTTGGGTATAAACAATCAACTAAATTTTAGTATTACAGTATCTATAAAAGTAGCCTTTGGTCATTCGCCTCAGATATCATTCTTGAGAGAGAATTCTTAAATATCATATATCACTGAATGAGATTTTACCTGTGAAACTGCTCAAAGAGATTTTGGGGCAAAAAAGTGAGCCAGGTGTATTTTGTGGTCTGGATCCTGTTTCCAGAATACAATCTTGCAGCGCGGTCCCAGGCTTCCTTCTGTCTCTCATTGTTGGGAAACACAACCCTCCACTTGTTCAAGCTCCCTTTCTGCCTGTCTTCGGCAGAACACAGTAGTGGGGTTGATTCTGAGAGAGACAGAGAGGGACGGGGAGCTCCTCGGCGCTGCCAGCGATACAAAGCTGAGTCCACAGACAAGGCCATTTTCAGGAGGGGTGTCAGGCTGAAAGACAAACGCATGACAAGAACTGAAAACCAATTCCATTCTGGTCGAAAATTCACTTTGTACCTTGCCAGGATAGGTTTAAAACAGCAAACAATACTACTGTTCAATACACTACATGTTCAGTCTTCAAGTTCAGAGCAGCACAGAATAACCAGTGCAACAAAATCTTCAATATGGAAAAATCCATTTCTATCTCTGTGTGGAAAGAAATTAAAAAAAAAAAAAAA